TGCAAAGCATTCATTTTTACTAGTTTTTTTTATTGAATTAAAGTGGTTATCTCTTGTACACTGAAGTAGAAGGAGTATTTGTACATTCACAAAGATTATTACCTCAAGCACTGAAAGGCTTATACAGTTATATGAAGCACCACGAATTGCCTGGCAATTAAATTTTGGATTAATGCATTAGACAAAGAATGAGCTGCGTGTTAAAAGAGATATATGGAAAAAAAATAATTTTCAAATAATAATAAATATATATAAAAAATAAAGATTAAATACCGAATATTACGCTTATGAAATTCCAAGAAAAATTTATGTGTCTACCAAAACTGTGAAAACAATGTTAAAACAATTAAAGATTTCAGCTCTGAAGTGTACATGTCATATGGGAGTTGAATCTCTGGCATTCAAAACTTACCTTCCTTTTTGTTTCAGAAATGCAGGATTCAAGGATTCAGCCTTTATTTGAGTAATTAATTCCCAGTACAGAATCATTATTTTATAAGAAAATCAGCTTATGCCCATTGAACAAGATTAAAAGTATATCCTTTTCTTTAGGAGCTATATATGGTAGTGCCCATTACAGCCCAAACTCATCCCATCCATTCAAGCTGGCAAGAATTTTCAGACATAATTCACATCTTTGCTTATAACCTATGTAATAGCATTAGTTACCATATCAAAACTTTTGTCACCAATATAAAGAATGGTGTTATCATCTGCGCTTTACTCATCTGCACTTGTTCATCTGATAACGATGGAATTTCTGTCTCTTTATGTATACATATCTTAAATTAATCTTTTTCTTCACACTTTTTATCTTTATCTTAAACTATAAACAAAAATCACAGTAAGATTTAAATGATCTTAACACAGAGTCATTTAAAATGCTGGACAGAAACATTGCACTTTATGACCATCATGTGAAACTTATCACCTTCTGCATGTTCTACAGTCTAAGAGTTTGGTTTTGTAAACATCATTTTATCTTAGAGCTTGTAAAATGGCTCATGAATTAAAACTGTTACTTAATTTAAAATAAACCTTTGTAAAGGCCATCACTTTATGACAATTATAAACTGATTACAGAATACAATTCTATTTGAAAAAATCAAGAGTTTGGTATTTTTATGCAACGTAATCTAAAAACGTAGAAAGAAAATACAACAGCAAAACTCTGTTCAAGCTTTCCACATTACCAAACAATAAAAAACAAGAAAATGTCTAGAATTAATTTATCAAGTGCTGAAAAGTATTCAAGGCTTAATTTCTACTCCATCACAGAATATAATATATCACACTTTTAAATTCTAGATATTAAGATACAGTATAAAGAATTTAGATTTTTATTTATTAATTAAACAGTAAAGACTAAGTAAGAAATTAGTTCTGCCTTCATATCTATCTACCATTTTGCCACACTGTTCAAGATGGCCTCTGGTAGATGCACAAATGTGAAGTCATTTTTTGTAGTGATGATGGTGGGAAACCTATTTTACTTGTGAGCTCATAAAAGTACATTTTAAAAATGTAGTGTGCTGTGCTGAGACACCACTTTGCTTACTATCACTGTGTCTTTAATTTACCTACATGAAAAGCCAGGAGGTTGTGAGTTTGAATCCAGAGAACCCCTGGATAAGGTTTCAGAAGTGGACCACTTCCATATGGCGGAAATGGTGGGCTGTCTGACCCGATGTCAGACAAAGGGCTTAAACTGAATAAATTTGGGAAGGCAGCTCTCTTAACATACTTGCTGAAAAGAAGCATAGTATATGCAATCACTTGAATGATCTTATGCAAACTCCAATTTAGTTGCCATTATTTTAAAATAATCTATTACACACAAGCAGATTTTAACTGAAAAACATTAGAGTTTGTACATTCTTGACATAGCCTGTTTAAACAATTAAAGACAAGAAGGCAATGTTGCTAAAAAACAAAAACAATTAGCTTGTTGTGTAGAACATTTTAAGTTAAATGTTACTCTTAAAGGAAACAGAAAACAATTTGAACTTGGATTCGTATTTGAAATACAAAATGATCAATTTCTATTTCACTTCATCTTTATATCATTAGCAGTGCTGGGTAAGAAATCTTAAAATGCTTCAAGCTGATAGACCAAACCGCACAGAAAGATGAAATATGGTGATGAGGTCTAATAATCTTACTTCAATTCCCTAATACTAATGTCCTAGTGTCACAAAAATTTAGGACCACCATACTTTCCAAACATATGAGAAAGTCACTGGATTCCCTAGTTATGATACATTCAAGTATATATATATAAAGACTGTGTATAGATGAAGAACACTGTTTCAAGGAAACACAAAGGTTTTGTGAAACTTTTCATGTCAGAGAGTGCCAAAGCTATATTCAAGTATAATCTAACATTCCAACAAAAAACATTATTTTATAATTTTCAGTAATGAGCCAAAGTTGTTCTAAAGAGCTTTACCTTAAATTAACTCAAGATATAACAGCTATTGAGGGAAATCTTGAATTCTGTGAAAACTTTATGGGCTTTCTAAGGGGGACATTTCCCAAACATATTTAACAAAAATGACTGGAGTTTTAAATGCAGCCATTAATGATCTTCCTTCATCAAACCTATGCAATACTAATGTAAACTGAGGAGCACTTAACCGAGTTTAGATGGGAAACGAGCAAAACACAATGTGATGTCCTATATATACCCAAGTATACAAATAATGACACAAGCATTGCACCTGGATCCACCTGTATTTGAGACAACAAGTGTAGTACCCCTGGCACCAGTATATACCAATGGGATATATACTAATATAATGGGGCACCAGATACAGAACCCAATGTCATGTCATGAGCACCATGAACAAACCAAATCAAGCCACTCACCTCCATAAACGTGAGACCAACAGAGTTCACTGTCTATGGAAACCTTTTGGGCGTTACAAAACAAGATATTCAAAGTAGCAGTCTAAGCAATAAGTTATTGATGTGATTATAGTGAACTATATAGTTGGTTTAATCCCAAAACTCTTCAGGATGATTATTAATAGCTGCAAACATGTAATCAGTCCATGAATTTATTAAGGAGACATGCTCTGTCTGAATGTTTCAAAACAAAAATCGGATAAGGGGAATAATAAAGGATCCAGTAAAATTAATTCTACCTTACAAATTATTCTAAATAGAAACTTCTTGTAATACAATTTATTTTGTGTTCCTTTGTTACAGTAATTAGTAAGAATTGCTTAATGACTACGAAGATAGAAAGCAGAAGGGGAGACAGATTCCATTTTTTTAGATTTGTAAGGCCAATATGTTTCATTACTGAAAAAGATGGAAATTAATTATATGGTATTACATTATTTCTTTCTTCTACATCTCCTACCGTCTAATATTACTATTTTCTGCATATCCCGTGTCTTTAGATTGTTTAAACATTATTTTTGTCCGAGTATTTTAATGGTAGCATAAAGGTATTAATTTTTTTAAGGTTGGCCTTATAATTTTCCCAGTAGGTGTCTGAATTAACCAGTAGCCTGTTGGCCTAACATTTCAGATCTGAAACGTTGTTCTAAAGCACTACACGACAGACAAAGCTTATTTTAATGAACTGAGACGAATTCAATATTCTGCGATGTGGTTTGTTTGCATGCACGTGTCACACAATACAACCATTGACGCGCTTTTGGGCCTTTAAAAGCATACTTGCCTACCTTTTTGCGTTACTCCCAATGACTCGATAACCTCACTAGAAAACACCATCAGAACATATAACTATTATATAGATTAGATATACAGGAGCCGTTTTCATTACATCGGATAAAAGGGAATAAAAGACACCAATTAAAGATTTGACTCAAAAAAGGATTTTTATTGCCATATTTTGAATGGGGGCGATGAAAAACGTAACAACAGGGTGCGAATAACAAACGGCGAAAATTGGTTTCCTTTCCTCTGTCGTCCCTCCATTGATCTATAAAGCAACTTTATGAGATCGTAAAGCACAATTTAACGACCCAGACATGGTTCAAAGAAACATAAGGGGTAAAAAGCAAACTGGTCCCAATCAAATCGGAAAACAATCTACCAAGAGATCTAAAAAAAACAAAGGCAAGTATCGGACTATTGCATCAAACTGAAAGCTCTGGGGAAGTACGTCTGGAATCCATTGCTAAACGGTATCTTTAAAATGAGGATCTCCGAAACGAGCACACAATGATACAGGCATCGGATATACAATGTAACCAAATTTTACTATCTTTATTAATAAGGCTTCATGTGGGTGGGGAATGATAGGCTAGCACTAAGCAGTTTTTACTTCTTATTTAGCCAGCCATTATAAAGAAAGAACCGGATTTCAAATTCAACAGATGAAACGATTTCCTAAATACAACTTTACAAACTAAACTATGTGTATAAATAGGGCACTGTGCAGCAGCGTGCTAAATGCAATTTACCAGTACTTCATCAGATAAAACACAGTATAATTTGCCTACAACTAAGCCAACGTTGTGTGGCTAAGAAATATCGTTGAAATAAAGAGCATGTGTCGAATCCACTCTGCTCCATGAGATGTTTCATGTTCTCGCAAGAAGCACTAAGAAACTTTAAAAAAGGTTTATGCTAAGAATTGCACATTAAGGAAATGCTAAGGAAAATAGTCTGAGAACCTGAGAATGTAATCTTAATTTCGAAACCTTCACATTTGTAAAGCATCTCTGAAAAACAGCATTCCAGACTGACCAGTAGGTTTCAAAAATATAAACAAGAACCGCCTTTGGCCACACGCTTTATCAATCTCAACGTTCTTAAAGTGACAGCGTTGATATCATTTAACAAAGTGTTTGATAATTGATTTTTATTAACGCACTTAGGACTTCCAAAGTTTTCGGTAAAACTATTGTTCGTAGTAAAATAAACTAACCTATGTTTTTTTTCTAAATAGCTGGATGAGGAAAAAGGCCACCCATTTTTAGAATCCACCATACGTTTTAGTTATTTGTAAAGTGCAAACTTACTTGGTGAACGAACACATCCAAAGGGGTTTCGATAGGAGTTCCCCCACGACTGGTCATTGAAATAAATCCGAACCCCATTCGAACATTAAACCATTTACAATGGCCCGTTCCATGTAGAATTTGGGATTCATCCTCTTCTTCCTGCTCGGGCAATTTCCCTGGATCATCTCCGCCACCTTTACCCGCCCCTCCTGAAAGAAATTATACAAAGTATTAGTGAAAATGCTAGATTGTTAACTTTGCCTGTTTGTGACAGTACGTACATCCACTGAAGTCCAAAGTGAAAGCTGCTTAATATTGAATCGCATCGCTGTCACTGCTCGTTAAATGTCTGGACTCTACTCCTGCATGTTATACAAACGTTCTTAAGATCGTAATATCCAATACATTACTTGCATATTGTTGATTTAGGACCGATCCCATTATCCTCAATGAAAGATCAAAATACTGTAAGCTTCTCCACTGCGCGCGGCAAATAACAAAACTAGGAAGACTGCACAATTTGTTCCTGCACATGCAGAGATCTGTTATTTCCCAACGTACATCTACTTAAATAACTTTCTATTACACTCAAAGGGCAGGTGTACAAACGTTTCCCCTGCTCACCCTCTAAAACTGCTCTTTATAACACACAAACAACTCAGACAATAGCTCAAGAAAGCTTTTCATTTGTGAATCAATGGGGGCGGTACATAACATTTTGGAGATCTACAACAATAGGTTAGCTCAGTGCCCCTGTGCGATCTGATCAAATGTAAACCAAAAATAAGAATCAAAACAGAAATATTAAAAATAGAATAACCTTCGGCCATGTTTCCCCGCGGGCCCTCTTTTCCAAACTTGTGAGATGAAAACTTTTTCTTTGAAATAAAGTAATCTTCTGCATCAATCTAACATCCCGATTTCCAGCGATCACAAATTTAGCTCGCATGGTCTAGCGTGCTTTCCCTCTTTTGATTTTTTTCGTTTGTCTGTTCTCTCCCTCCCTCTCTCTTCTCTCTACCTCCCTCTCTCTCTTTTTTCTCTCCCTCCCTCTCTTCTCTCTTTCCCCCTCCTTCTTTCTCTCTTACTCTCCCCCCTCTCCCTATCTCTCGCTCACTCTGTCTGTGGCCCCCGTACACACGTGACTTTGTCAATTACATGCTTTCTTGCTACTAATTTCACTTCGAATCCTGGAAAGGGGAGGGGATAGGGTTAGAGCTAAGAGAAAGATAGCCAATCGCCATTTCTTCTGACCCACACCAAAACAATCAATGGGCGAACTAAAATTAATCTCCCATCATTCTTTAGCTAATTCCAACACTCTTTATGTTCGGATTCCAGAAGGATCTGAAACTTCTTAACTGTTTTTAGGAGGATACCTTGAGTCGTGTTCAACTGTAACACAACACTCTATGGCTATAACACAGTAGTAGTTGCTCCTTTTTATAACACTTTTTTGTTACAAACCCATAAATAGTTAACTCGTTTTTGAAAGAAAACAGGATTTTCACAGACGCAAATTTCAAACAGTTTCATCCAAACACATTGAAAGGCATTATTTACCTAACAATACGTGGTGACCAGTTTTGTGGAATAATAAACGAACACCTGGATAATTAAAGAGGCTCAGAATAAATAAAAGAATAAACAGACATTATTCTTTTCCATAACATCAATAAGTAAACAATACATAAACACGTTTCTTCTGAATAATTATTATTTTATCAATTTATTGCTGAACTCTATGATGCACGTTTTGTAGGCCTATCCACTATTTCATTTAATTTTGAGGGAATTAAAATTAATGGTAAAGGTATAGTTTGCATGCTGTGTGAGGATGTAAAATCAGTTTAGACATTACACATCAAAACACACAATACTCGACACTATCGTTTACAATGCTTTTTTTTAGACCATTTAGCAAAGAATAATTACATTTTTGACATCACTAATATTAAAGATTTAAAACGAATCATTCTAGAATATATTTAAACACGGAAGAGTACAGATAAAGAAAACACCTACATCTAAACCAGCAAAACCTTTATGCACTGAGTAATCACGAATGATATGTAGTCCATATTATTTTGAGACGTGTGGGCTACGGAATGCTAATTCTGCGGCCCATTATCTAGTACAGTATGTTCTATGTAATGAAAGGGTACCAGAAAATCCAGTGTCTCGCTTATTCGTCATATCTATAATGGCGCCAACGTGCGTGGACGCGTGTAAAGGTTGCTCAATGTTGAAGGTGTTTGAAAGAGTTAGTTTCATCTTTCACAGTGGTCAGCACGATTATAACGTGTGTGATCTAATGTGAAATAAGGCTGGAACAAGAGCAAAAAGAGAAAAAAAACATAAAAGTAAAAACAATCTACCAAGTGAAGCAGAAAGTCTAAATCCTGAAATTCCTTTGCCGTTTTCAACCGTAAATGCCTATAGGTTATTTCAACAAAGCCTAATTTGAGGTCAGGTCCGCAAAGAGGATTTACATTTTTAAGTTTAAGTAAAACAGGGACCTCTAAATTGCACTAATGGTCTACCAATAAACAAGCATACACTGTTAGTAGGGCTGTCGTATTAAGTTTATTGGTATTTTAGTTTATTCTTATTTACTCTTTGTGATGGAGTAAGGAAAAACTGTTTTACACATAAGGCATTTAATGTGACACTTCTTAACGTGTTCAAAACCTGTTTTTACTGGTCTGCACGGTGAGGGGGTGTACTGCAGCTGAGCTTCCTTTGTTTTTAAACACGCTTGGACTCACATTTTATAAATGAAACTCATTATTAAATCACGCTGCAATGTTAATTCCGAGGGCTAACGTTCACTACGTTAAATTCAGCGCTATGTAATTGCCCCCCCTCCGTAGGTTCAATCTTTGAAGATGGTGGATGGTGTGTAAAGGCCTCCCGGCGCTTGTAGAATGAAGAAAGGGGTCACAGGATTGGTCTTCGGTGTCAGACGTTATCGACTCATTCATTTCCAGTAAGGGTGCGTGAGCAATTCGCGTAACGTTAAAAGCAGAAATCTGACCACTGAAAACATCCCTTACAACACTGTTAATAAATTTAAAAAGTTTGAATGAAAATGCATATTGTTATTATCAAATATTCAAAATGATACAAGTATAAAATTTATCCCTACTTGGAAATACTGTACACTGCATTAATTTACAGACAGCTAGACACATGCATTGTATATATCATTAAGAATATAATATATTACAACTATTCTATTCTATATCCCTAACTTTAAAATAGGTTAATTATTATTTTATCGTGTCCTGAAATAAATACAAGTGCATATGTTTATATTTTCTTTCTACAATTATGTTATAATGTTCTTCGACTACCCATGTAAAGAATGAAGAAAGCGGGAAAGAAAATTTAACAGTATCACATGATTAAACAATGTTAATGCAAGGTTTATTAACATCAAATGTAGAAAAAGATAATTGCCAACGAAGCAGTAACAAAATCGGATACAATATGGTGTCAGTCTAAATGACTTGACTTGGCTACCGTAAGATGACGCAAACAACTCTTATATCTGCAAAAAAAAAGTGAACGTTGAAAATCCCGCGTTTTCATAAACCCAGAATTCCTCACTGTGAGTTAAGTCCCCACCCCCCCATTCCTCTGTCTGTAAAAGTGCAAGAACACGTAACTTGAAATTAGATGCCTAGGCCACCCCCAAACCCGCCCAGAAATACCATACTTAAACCATTCTAAAATCCCTCATTACATGTGCATTCTCATTTACAAACCTTCCAGTTACATTGACGTTTGACGTATTGAATCAAAACACAGTACTACAGGCGAACATGTCAGATTCATTCTCTTGTGTTTTTTGTAAAGACTTTTTTGTCCCGTTTTTATACTTATTTAAAAAAAACTGATATGGAGTATCAGAACAAAACGTGTTTACTTGGTTTTCCGCTTGTTAGTGGAAGTATCTGTGTCCAAGTCTGTTTGACTTGAAGGTTTTCATTTCGTTTATAACATACGCGACTATAAAATAACAAAACTACAAAAGAGCATACAAATCATTGGTTTAGTGTCTAAAACAATCTAATTCCAGAATCTGATAAGCAATATGCAGTAAATACATTTATTTGCGATGTGTCTTTCGAGATTCTTAAACCTTTTCTATTATAGCAACATCTTATTATAATTATCCTGACTTAAATCACATTTATAAAATGAAGAGTTTCACGCTGATTTTAACCGTTCTAAGAGTTTTGCTTTAGACAATGTTAGCAATAGGATATAATAAAGAAGGATACTCATCTCTATTCTGTGTTCCTTAACCTACCCTGGTGCAAATAAAATACAACTAATGAAATAAATAAAAGTCTGGTTTTCAGAACAATACTTTTCATTTTTTTTAATCACACGTTTATTATTATGTATTTATCATATTTATAACGAAAGCTCCTGTCTTTTGAAAAAAACGATCAATCAGGTGGATTAAACTGACAAATGAACACATAAATTCTGCTTCAAAAGGGGGAAGGAAACAAATGTTAAATGATAAAAGTGCCCTAGAGGAATAATAAAAAAAACATACAGCACTGGATCAAGTATTTATTTAAATAATTATCTCGAATGCAACGCGAACAACAATATGTAGAGAATAATAATGCGAAATCCAGATCTCTCAGAGCCTATCGACTCCGAACACAAACCTCTAATGCTGCATCCCCACCCCCATTCCTGGGTATTTAAATATTCTGATTTGTGTAACTTGATAACGAAATGCTGTGTTTTTTGAGGGGGGTTGGGTGGGGGTGGGGGTGTTCTGTGTGTTTTTGCACTTTGGGGGAGGGAGAACATTGATTAGAACTATAGTTGGGTTAGTATTTATTGGGCAGTTTGTTCCTACCTTCTCCGTAGTGGTGAAGCAACGTACCTTCGGATGGCACTGTCAAAGGGGTCGATTCACTTTTAAAAAAAACAAATTTGTGCGGATCTGTTTGCTGTTATAAGGGGACCATTGGGCTATGCTAAAGTTTAAAAGAGAACGCCTGATCTTTGCGTTCTTTTTCTTTTATCGGTGAACTCAACGTTAAAAAATTGCTTTATCGCTAGAAGTAAATCGTTTCAAGTGAATACACTTTATTCGCGGATACGTAGTTCTGGAAACCTGTGACAAGGTTGTTGTGTGGTGAGCTGAAACTACGAAGAAAATTAATATTTAATTTGGAATATTTTTTGACCCTATATATAACATTAAAACAATTGGACACTGGAACGCTTATGGCAGATATTGTTTCTCACTTTAAAGCTTTACTTAGTAAGCCTGCCTATGAAAATCAAATTAATTCTCTATTTGAATGCGGCTTTCGCAATTAGACATTTTTCTGTTGGTGTCTAAGCCCAATGAAGGCGCTATATGAATACACGAATTGACCCAGTGGCATATTTGTAGCGTTGAAATGTGTGGATATTCTTTGATCTGAACATGTTGTGAAACATGTATTCAATTTTAGAGGTTTCCTTCTGTCGACAAAATACAATCGAATAAAATAACTGTTGATATGGAAAATAGGAAAAGAAAACAAAATCACCATATTTGTAACTGCGTTTCTTTTTCTTTTCGTAACTTGTTTAAAGCTCAGCTCAGCACGCCTTCAGTTTTTGAATGCTATTTTTTCTCCCTTTTCTATCAATTAAATTTGACCTTTCCTGGAATAATCAGAAGATGTACAACTCGACGCTTGGTGGGATAATGCGTTTAATGGAAGATCTTTTAAATGAATACCTAAAGCCAGTTCACTGCCTTATGCATGTATTATAGGTAATTCAATTTTATAACGATTTTAAGTATTTTCAAACTCTTCTCTCCCATTTATTAAAATTTTATTGGTTTCGGAAGCCATACAATAAGCCAATTATTCTGTTCAATGAAATCCACTGTTGAGAGGGCAAGCACAAAAGTCATATAGCATTACAAACTCCGTAATATATGACATGCTCCTTTGACACACAGATGTAAAGAAAACGGTAGGAGACTGACCCTCAAATACACGTGTTGCTAGATAGATGTTTCTATACACGTTTTTAGAACCTGTATTATACCAGAATAACAGTTAATGAAATTATTCATGTGACACAGTTTGTTGATCGATTTCAATTAACTAATCATTCTGTTGGATATAAATATTGCAGTGTGTATCATTATTGTTTTCCATTTTTAAATAATCCCGATTTACCACCGCAATTTCGTGTTTATTTACCTCAGTCTTCAGTATCAAATAATCACTGGACCATAATTCAGCCGCGCGTGTGGTTGGTTACTAGGAGAATGGGTGGGCAATCACTCCAGTACGTAAATCTACTTCAAAAGGTTTACCTTTACTTTTCGAAATCATTTTAAAGATTAACTTCTTAAGCTTTAACACAATGTAGCTCCATTTAGTCTAGGAGAGTCGTTAAGACCCTTTGCCTTGCGTCCTATGGACTTTGGGCTTCTTAGAATCCGAATGCTCGGTATGAGTAGAAGGTAGATCCTTCAATAATCATTATGCTTTCTCTGGAACTTCCTTCCAATTTCTTCGTCATTGTCCGTTTTAAATTGCAAATCAAAGGTTCACTGCTTGCGTGGACTTTTAGACGTCTGTATGGTGAGCTGAGATCAGTTCCTTAATAAGGCCACGTCTCAAATCTATATACTAATTATTATTAAAAAAAACGTTACACTGTAATGTTTGAGCATTCAGTTATGTTATGCACACGACGTTCGTAATGGTAGATGGGCTTGTGGCATTCGTAAGGTTAAAAAAGTTGATGACATCACCAAAGGAAACCCCTTGTTTGAGTGGTGACGTCAGAAGCTGCCCAGCAATGTGCTTGAGCTTTACAGCGGAAAGAAAGTGCCGCTGGGAAAGGAGCCAATATTGACTCAGGCAAGTAATACAAGGACGGAAAGCCAACAAACCAGCATCAAAAGTAAGTTAAACATCAGAATTTTTCACCGATGCATCGTATTTTAATGTGTGCGTAACGATCGTCTTAGCTTCGGAAGAAACAGGCTGGTTAAATAGTCTTTACTAAAAGTTATTTTTTACAACATCGTCTGTAAAATGTAAGCAACTTGTGACGCTATTGTTTGTTTCGGAGCTACAAGTGTGTAATTACACGATGTTGTTATCGTATTTAAAGTCGTATTACTCACTAGTATGAGTTCATCTCTTCATCTAGATTTGATCTGAGTAAACTGTGGAAGCTGACACAAAAAAACATATTTGTGAAACAGTTATGTTTTGTTTTGTTACACCAGGGAACTAAAACGTCAACAAATCGTTTAAGGTTTATTAATTATTAACAGTACCTTTCTTGTACGTTTAGACTAATATAAACTTTGACAAACACTACAATATAAACGGATACAAAGTAGTAAACTGCTTTTAAAGTGTAACTTTTGTGATTGTTGCTGTTAAGCCATTTAATAGTCCATATTGTTAACTTTATCTTTGCCAGCGGTAAAAACAATCAAAATCCCGTAAATGTTATCAATGATAATTCGAATCTATGTTGCAAAACTTCTCCGTCGTGTATTTTTATTAATATGTATTTTCTAAAAATACACTTGAACTGGATGTAACTCTCTTAATGCGCACGTCTTTTCCTCTTCGAAAAAACTGAGTGAAAGCGCTTGTTTTGTTGATTTCCTAAATAATAAATGGGGAAAAAGCATTTCCGCAAGCCTGCATTATATAGTGCTATTGTAGGCGCGACTCACCTGAGCTTGATGAGGCCTTCTTCAATGTGCTCATAGTCTCCTTGAAAACCTGAAAATGATAGGGATAATGAATAACCCGACGTAAAAAGTCTAATTATATTGTCTTGCTATTTCATGATAGTGTACGAATGTACGGTAACACCTTTCAGAACTTTTTTTTACCTAATTAGAGAATAGTTTAACACAATAATCAGTTTGTCAAAACAAATGAACGCCTGAAAATCAAAGGTTATGCCGCTTGCGATTTTTCTTAATTGTCGATATTATCGCTCATTGCTTTAAGGCAGACCGCATCACGGATTTTTTTTCTTTACACAATGCAAGGTATTATTTCCGCCAATTAATATTTAATTATAATACTGTAACTCAATACGGTTTGCGTGCTGGAACTCCTTAGGTTTGATCTCATTAAAGGTCTCTTTTTGAGGGGAAGAAAGGTAAATATGGTATTTTGAAGACTGTAAAACTGTTATTGCTTGTAAGTTTTAAAAACGAGTAAAATATTTCCAAAAGGTTTGTCTGTCTGTTTTCATATAAGTATATGATAGCTGGGAAAAGACAATTTTCTAGGTATTTACGAAGTCATCATCAAAGGCATCTTGCAAATAAAATGACCGTTTATACACTAGAAAACGGCTAAATGCAAGTCTAAATGACTTATAAACATTTAGACTCTTTGTGCTGTCTTTGTTTATTGCCTTGCTTTCAACTAAAGATTGTATAATTTAACTGTTACAGGTCTAAACTCGCTGACAACGATTGGTTAAACTAAGAAGGACCAAGCTGCGCAGACAGCAGTACAGTATACCGTCTCAGTATCTATGCTCAGGTTGCAATTGGCTATTTTAAGACCGCGCTCTTTGTGGACGCGAGCTTTTATTCTGACCAAAGCGGCTCCAGTTATAGAAAAAAAGAACAAAGCAGGTGTTTCGAAGATTGCATGTTAGCAGAAAGTTTGGTTTCAGCCCGAACAGCATCTGGCGACAGTAAACCGTACTTTCTTCTCACCAACATAATTCCTGGCAGGTCTGCTGTTGCAGGTTAAACCGAGGGGGCAAACCAGAGATCAGTCCAGATAAGAAAGAATATAACAGTTAGGCCTAGGGTCTCTGCAGGTTTCAACGGCACATTCACTTTCAAGTCACCATCTGTTTGTCATATAGACCGACTATAAAAATTCTAGACAATGCATATAGTTCATTCGAATTTAAATTTGTAACGTGCTGAGAAATGCATTACATTATCAGATGTATTACATCGGTAATTCTGTTTAACATATTGATGATTTGTTTTTTGTTATATCTCAGTCTTTCATTTTATTGAATGTATTTGTTGTTATGAAACAATTATCAGCAGTATTAATATTATCAGTAAATGCAGCTGCTTAAATTTTGAGAACGTTTTATAATTGTTGGAATTTAACTCGGATGTATTGCAAATCCAGTCATTTAAAGTATAATTCACTAATTTGTAATCAAAACCAATTAATATAAACTGTATCATATCTATCTGTTGCTCGCATTTGGCTTTTAGCCATGACATTCTGCCAACATAAGAGTTGTTTTGAAAACGTCTGAAATAATTGGTTTTAAATGGAAAATAATTTTGTATCTTTTGCAGACTGGAATCTAATTATTCTTTAGAAAACATTTTATAAACTATTGTAAATATTCAGTATATAATGTTTATATATAAGATGAATATAATAATATGCCAGTGCATAACAGTTGAAACCTACAGCAAATGCATCAGGCACATCTCAGCCATTTAATATTAGGACAAATTGTTGCACGTTAGCTGTGTAAACTATTATTCGGATTCAGTACACAGAAACCTTAATAGCATCTTGTATGAAGTTAATAGTTTGAAGATATATGATTGTAAAGCAGGAAAAAAAAACAATTTAAAGACAATTCCACATACCCCTTTGTAACGATCCAGGTTGGAATGAAGAGCTGATTGATAGACAAAATGGTGCTCACAATACCGCAAATGGGTTTCAACCACTCAGATGTGCTTAACATATTTATTTTAATATTCCTTCCCCCACCTATACACCCCCACTATACTATAACACCTATAAATGTTTATAATCATTTTGGAGAAGGAGAATTTTCATACTTATTTTGTGCTCTGAAGTACAATGTAGTGTATGGAAAATGCAATTCGTATATTCGTAATTCGGTCCCACACCCAAACCACGTTTCTGAATTTGTAAGAAGTCTATACCCCTGTTTGTACCCAATCATTTCCAAGCATGTCTGCTGTAAGATACAGTCAATTCTGACTATGCTTGTACATCCTCCCAACATGACGCTGAGCATGTTATCGTAGGTGAGATGATTCTGAGGTAAGGGTGCACTTGAGCTTTTTTAGGTTGTTTTATTACATCATAAAGACTTCTATCATGTTCTGGATAATTCAGGGCATTGTGGGGGGTTAACTTTAGTTCTTTAGTTGCTCTCAGAATCAGATATGATGTGCTAGAATTTCTTCACAAATTCTATTAGCATTTTAAGGCTAGTATTAGGTCCAGAAACACATTAATCCATCTACCTCTGACACTCAAACGTAAATCAGCCAAAATGATCAATTGTCTGAGAAGCCTTCAATTCTCAATGAAGTCTGTTGAACCTTGCTGAGAATGCTCAGAAGATGGTAAAAAGAGGGCTGTCCAGTGTAACCCCTTACTTAAGAAAGAAGTAAATTCCCATAACAACATGCATTACCTCAGGTTGCTAGAAAGTACAGGTTTGCCCAGAAGATATTGTGTCTAGCGGCATATGGCAAAGTTGATTAGCAAACATTTAGGAATTGCTGTGTAAAATCATTTTCATGGTTTGGACTTTTCTCAAAATATTGTACAGGTGAGAATTTCCTGTTAGTATTACTGTCTATGAACTAGATTTCGGATTGAGTTTTATCAATCATATAATTTTACCTCAGGACGTTAGTTTGCTTTACTCCTGATAAAGTGTATTGTATATTGGAATTCACAATGTTTCATAATGACTGTCAACACAAATAGGGAATAGTTCAAAATTAAATTGCCAATGATAATGCATCTTGACATACGTATTCCACATCTTCCATGTGTACAGTTTAGTACAATAATATTCAACATTGATGCTTTTTAAAACTATTTTTATGTTTTGGAAAATGTTGTTTAGAAAGAATGCATACAATACCCTGAATATTGTTTTTTTTGTTTTCAGATTTTATTGTTGCAAATGATATATATATATAACACATGCAACTGTATTACTGTATTACGAATTATAAAAGTCATCATTTGCTCAAATATTTGCGTGGAATTGTTTTTAAGATTTTAAATTGTTTGACATTCACTTATTTTTAATGATCTGCAAACATCAGCTTTTAGGAACTGGGATGATCTAAATTAGGGCTTCAACAAAATATGGAACAGCCCAGCTGTAATTAAAACTAGCTAAATCAGGATGAAATGTGATTTTTCTTCTGATTGTTCCACAAACAACTGTAAAGATTATAACTGATTTTACTCAAACAACAGTAATTGATTTGCAACACACATACACATGAACAATAAACAAAATGTAAATTGAATTAACCCTATGCAGAAACATTGTGGTATATTATAGTTTATGAAGAATGTATATGGTATTAAAGGACAGTACTTTAATTATCTAAATTGACTGTGCTGTATTGTTTCACATTAACAAAAACAGCTTCAAAATTTTAATGAGTGGGGATCTCAAAGTTGGTTTCTTATTTTTATCTGCTAGGTAAGCTAATTTAATGTTAGGACCCTTCTTTTCACACAAATATTGTGTATGAAAAGTATTTGTATGAATAAGTAGTTGTATGAAAAGTAATATGTTTCAGCCAATACATGATATGAACACCATTTCTATATATGTAGAGCTATTTTATTAATTACTGAAGAACATTACATAATACTCAGCTTACCATTACCAAACCAGCTTTCAAGTAGCTTTTACTTTCTTCAAGGCTTTCCATATTGTGTAAATTTAGACAAATTCCGCCTGTTGAAAACTTGTTGTAAGTAAAACATAAATAAGAATTTCAGAAATTCTCATAGTATTTTTCTCATTTCATTTGGTCTGAAATGTCTACTGACATTTTTTGTATATCACACGATTAGTCCTAATAGTAACTTGTTTTTATTTTTCAACCTAACAGCTTTTACCCATCTACAACTTGTATATGCAATTTGAGGGACAAAAAAATATTTATGACTTTTAATGTACAATGCGCTGCTAAAATATTTTTTTTGAAGCACCTGGCAACCTAATCAACTGGAGCAGAACATGCAAACTTCACCCAAGGCCCCTTAGTCAGGATCAAAACCAGGGTTTAGGAACTATGAGGCATAGCACCACCCTATCATGCTGCAGTGTCCATGTACAGACATATATTAAAAATGCCACATGATATGGAAGAAAGACATTTCATTACTTAACTTGTAGGTTGGTAATAAAGTACAAAATACAGAAAAACTTCAGAAACTTGAGACAGGAGTAAAAAGTTAAATTTTTCTGGGGGTGGGTGTTTTGTTAATAGAAAGAAGACATTTGAGAAAGTAATCATTTTCTTATTGGTGTTTAAATGTGTTTGTTTTATCAATTAGGATAGCAGTGAAAAATGTCAGTATGAACTGCTTTAAAGCATGGTACAACACAACAGTGTCTTGTCTTGGTTGATCAGCCTAGTACCCATATGCCCATTAGTTCCCGATACGTTCTGTAATCTCAAGATTGCACATTTACCTAAAGTTTTCCTAATTTTGTAATCCTTCCCTTATTTCTGTAATCATTTTAATTTTCTAGTAATTGGAAACAAAGCATTCAGCATAGAAGTCTGAAAATAAATAATAAGCCTCTCAAATTAGATATGTTGTTTACAAACTAAATCGGTTAAGGTAATGCAGCATATCAGTTTACTTAAATCATATCCTTTCAACTGCTGTCAAAATTGTTTTACCATTCTTATCGAATGGTGGAATTAATATGACTTTAAGTTGAATGACACCACTACCAAAAACAACTC